ATATCCCAGTCCACCCCAGCACAGGACCAGTTGGTCCCAGCCACATTGGGTTGAAGACCCCCCCTGCCAGCCCCATCAAGCATCCGCCTCCCAGCCCCAGGTTGACTCGGCACGTCCCCAGGCTCTGGGCAGCATCTGAACCCCACAGGTCCCTTCTGCTTGGCAACGGTGATGCGAGGCACGAGAAAGGCTGCAGAAATACCAGGGAACTTCCGCAAAAAGAGAGCAAAGCTGGCAAAGGGGGCTCCTGACTGTCCCAATGGATTTTTCTAGCTGTGGATGCTCTTCCTCCAGTTCAGAGAAGGGTTGGAAACACGTCCTGGACAACCAAAGGGATGGGGCAAAGCTGGCTCCCAGGTGAGGAAGGCTTTCACCCTCTTCCTCGTGGGAACCACTCTGCCTCCATCCCTCGGGTCCCAGCCCCGGTGCGCAGGGAGGCCGGCGAGCTGGCTGCGGGCAGGGGGAAGCCGTCCGCGTTGACTTTGGCAGTGCGTTTGTCTACACTGTCTTAGCAATTTTATGTCCACAGATTAAATAACATATCCCCGGCTCTGAGACAGGAAAGCCGGCTTTGCAGCAAAAGCCCCGGCCCTCCCTCTGCTGGGCTCCGCCACTGCCTCTGCCACCGACCCTGGGCACCTCGCTTGGCTTTTGGCATGGCCATCATCACCTTGGCTGGCAGGGAAGGAGGGCTGGGGGGTCCCAGGGGTGTTGGGGGACCACAGGGGCATCCCAGGCTGAGGATTTTGGCTGCAGGGTGTGCTTGCAGCAATGAGACAGGCACAAGTGACCCCCCAGGAGGTCTCGCCGCAGAGAGCAGCCTCCGTGACTGGTAGCACTTACCAGGGCATCTACCTGCTTGGTGATATTCTCCCCCGGGGACGGCTGCAGGCAGGCAGGCAGGCAGGCAGGAGGAAGGGGAGGGTGAGGAAAAGGCAAGTGAGAGAGAAGGAAAGAGAGATTGAGAGAGACATGCACACAGAGCAGGGGCCGGGGTCAAAAGTTCCCCCCTGGCTATTTCTGGCCCTTCCTAGGAAACGCGCCGTGGTCCCGTTTCCTTCCCTGCCCGCCAACACGTCCGCTCGTCCTACAGGT